ACCTATGGCCACTAGTCTCGCTTTATGTTTGCCAATTGATCCATCTGGCTTTAGCTTCTGCTTGAAAACCCATCTGACGCTGATGGCTTTCTTGCCTTTTGGAAGTTCTGTCAGCTTCCAAGTCTTGTTTCTTTCAATTGCCTCAAGTTCTTCTTTCATGGCATTCAGCCATACTTTCTTCTTGAGTGCTTCTTCAATACCCACTAGTTTAGAATCTACTAGCATGGCACACTGAACGATTTCACCTTCAGAATCTACTTCAGTATCATGCAACATGCTAAAATCTGCAAACTTACTTGGTATTCGTCTGATTCTTTGTGGCCTCTGGTCTTGTTCTGAAGGTTCTCCAGAATTCGGAACAATACTGGCTTCTGAACCTTGTCCAGAACTACTTCCTTCAGAATTACCACCTTCAGAGTTACTTCTGGAAATTTGTTCTCCAGACCCTATGTCTTCAGAGTTTTCCCTTCCAGAAGTAAAATCACCACCAGATTCTGGATCATCATCAGAATCTGGATCAGAATCAGATCCACTATCAGAATCTCCCTGAGATTCTGACTCATCTTCAGAGTCTTCTTCTTCTGACTCTGACTCGTCTTCAGAAACTAACCCTGGTGTTGGCACTACACCAGAATCTGATTGAAGCTTGTTCCAATCCCATGTTTCTGACTCTTTCACAACGACGTCTCTGCTGATTTCAACTTTGTTGGTTTCTGGACAATAAAGCTTGTAGGCACCAGTACTGTGGTACCCCACCAGTAACATTGTTTTGCTTCTATCATCCAGTTTTCGTCTTCTAGCCTCTGGAATGTGTTTGTAGCACACAGAACCAAATACTTTCAGATGGCTAACACTCTGCTTGTCTCCAGTCCATTTTTCTAAAGGAACAGTTTCTTTTAGCTTCTTCGTTGGACACCTATTCAGAACATATGCTGATGTGGCAACAGCTTCTCCCCATAACATGTGAGGTAGCTTCTTTTCTTTCAGCATACTTCTGGTCATATCAAGCAAAGTTCTGTTTCTTCTTTCAGCAAGACCGTTGTGCTGAGGAGTATATGGAGCAGTAACCTCATGTTCTATTCCATTCTTCTCACAGAACTTCTGGAACTCTGTAGAGTTATACTCACCTCCACCATCTGTTCTCAGAATCTTCAGCTTCTGACCACTCTGCTTCTCAGCCTTTACCTTAAACTTCTGGAACTCTGTAAACACTTCATGCTTGAACTTGATGAGTGTTACCCATGTCATTCTTGTGAACTCATCCACAAAAGACACGAAATATTTGTTTCCTCCAAGTGAAGCTACTGGAAATGGTCCACATACATCAGAGTGTACTACTCCCAGAGCATGTTTTGCTCTGGGGGCTACTTCTGACGCAAATGGCAATCTGGGTTGCTTGCCTTTCATGCATATCTCACATGACTTCTGAGGCTTCACAATCTTCGAAATGCCATGTACGAGCTTCTTAGAACTTAGATGCCCTAAGCTTCTATAGTTCAAGTGCCCCAACCTCTTGTGCCACAACTTACTGTCTGCTTCAGCGCCTTCTGCACTGAGACACTCTGCTTCAGAAGTTTCTACATTCACTTTGAATGTTCTGTTGCTTCCCTGCTCAGACTTCATAATCATCTTCTGATTAGAATCGTACAACGTCAAGAGGTTGTCCTTCATAACCACTGAAAAACCTTTCTCAACAAGCTGACCCACACTCATCAGATTGCTTTTAATTCCAGGAACGTACCAGACATCTTTGATCAGAAGGTTTCTTCCATTCTTCACTCTGACTCTGACATTTCCCATACCTTCTGCATTAAGGTACTTATCATCAGCACATCTGATCTTTGTTCTCCTTCTGGAGTCAAAGTCTGTCAGCCATTGTTTGTTCCCAGTCAAGTGATTTGAACAGCCAGTGTCCATATACCACCAATCTCCTGAACAGTTTCCATCAGAATCAGAAGCCATCAGTAGCACAGGTTCATCATCAGAATCTTCTCTGGCTATATTTGCTTCTTCTGATTTTCTTCCTTTGTTTCTACAGTCTCTGGCAAAATGCCCAAACTGTTTACAGCAGTAACATTGAACCTTCTTCTTGTTATACCTTTCCTTTCCCTTCTGATATTTCTTTTCATCAGAAGTTGAGGTTTCTGACTTCTGGAATTTATCACCATGTCTATTCTGCTTCTGGTCCTTCTTGACAAAAGAAGCTTTCAGAGCTTGCTCCACTTCCCTCTCAGAAGTTCTTTCAGTCAGACGCAACTCTTGTGCTTCTAGACTGCTTTGCAACTCTTCTATTCTCATGGTTTCCAGATTTTTAGAATGTTCAATAGACACAACAATGTAATCAAACTGAGGCGTAAGTGACCTCAGAATCTTTTCTATGATCACCTGTTCAGAAAGTGTTTCTCCACAAGCCTTCATTTCATTTGTGATCAGAATCAATCTGGAGATGTAATCAGAAACTTTCTCACTGTTCTTCATGCTGAGATTTTCATATTGTTTTCGCAGGGACTGAAGCTTTACCTTCTTTACTGATACGTCACCACCATAACATCTGGTCAGAATATCCCATGCCCCTTTCGACGTCGTCGAATCAACAATCTTCTCAAACACATTTTCATCCACACACTGATGGATGAAGAACAGTGCTTTCTGATCCCTCTTCCTTGTAGCTCTTTCTTCTGATTTCTGTTCTTCAGTAGCATCTGCTGCAACTGGAAGATAACCTTCAGAGACAAGGTCCAGAACATCCTGAGCACCAAACAGCACACGCATTTGTATCTTCCATCTGTTCCAGTTTTTACCATCAAAGACTGGAAGTTTAGTGTTCAAACTACTGCCTCCATTCATCTTAAACCTTTGCACAGAAAAAACTCAGATCTCAGATTCTCACTCAGTGTTTCCCAAACCCACAGAATCAGTGTGATTCTGTTTCAGATTTTTGTTCAAGAATCAAAAATCAAACACACAGCTCACTATCACTCGTGTTTCCCAGAGTTTCAGAATCAAACCAAGAGCTCTAGATACCAATTTGTTAGTGCAAGGTGATGAATTTGAGGAAGAAGAAGGAAGGAATAAATGCCTAAAAGCTGACAGCAAATGATTGAAGGAATTGATTGAAATAAATGTAAACCTAGTACACCTATTTATACACAAATAAGAATGCCACATAGGCCCTAATTAAAACTTATCTACAAATAACAAAATACTAAATTACCCTCTAATAAACCCAATATATGATCTATTTAGACTGATAAATTCATTAATTGGTAAAATCAAACTTAATTAAAGATAAAAACCTTTTCAACCGTAGATTAGTTAAGTTAGAATCAAACCCTCCATAACTGACTCCTTTCAAGTCCTAAGCCCAGTAAATTTGGATGGAGGGTCAACCTTTATTGATGATATTTTTTTTGAGAATTTTATTTCTATTCTATAGTCTAAAGAAATACTTTATATATTTTCTAAAATATTTATGGAAATCGAAAATATATTTTTGGTGCGTGGCTTTTTCTATTAAATATTGTCTAAAAATCAAAAATATATTTTTGAAGTGAATCAAATATGTATTTTCAATTTAATATATTGCTTGTAGTTTGGATTCTTAGGCCACAATTGTGTTTGAAGTGCAATTGAAAATATATTTTTGGTTTGCGTTCAACTTTTTCATAAAATTTATTTTTAGCATAATGCGCATCAAAAATATATTTTTGATTTCGAGGGATATTTACGAAATTCTGTGTAGTGCGCAAGAAAACTATACGGTAAAATAAGAATTTACCTATTTTTTACACTAAAAATCAATACAGTATTAACAATACACTTCTATTATCTATTATAAGTCTATAAAAATCAAAATATCTAGAAAAACCACAAATACCTCTCTGACTCCAAGTTTAATATTTTTCTTATTTTATGGAAAAATATGGCTTTTCGTAACACTACTATCACCACATACATTTGACAATTAATGCATTTGACAATTAATACAGTGAAGTTGTCATCACATAACATTTTAATACATTTTTATTTATTTTAATTCCAATATTTACTTGAATGGTTCATGAAATACATTCACTAAGGCAGCCGAAACTCATGGCAATTAGGATTGTTTGCTAAATAATGCTACTTTTCTATAACATCAAAAGATTGTAGAATGAATTTAAACTTCAAAGTATTTAAGTAATTGTAATACACTTATATGTTTTATGACAAACGTCTCTATAAGGATATATTTGTGGTGCTATGTTGTAAAATATTTATTTTCTACTCTAATGTGGTTACAAATCTTGCTTAATACATAGAAAAAAAAAAGATATCCGGTATAATCTTTAAGGCATATAAGAGAGATTATATTGAAGTTATAGAATAATTGATAGATGTGCATACATAATTCACTAGTACATGTAAATGTATTTATAAGATATTAGTTGTGTACGGTTCATTTTAAAATGTATTGTTGATACAATTATTTTTATAATCAATAATCAATTTATTGTTGATACAATTATCTTTACAAAAAAAATTTAAAAAAAATTTATTATTGATATAATTATTTTTATAAATAAAATATGTTACACGAATATATGTGAACGTATCTATGATATTAGTCTATATTTTGTTAACCAATTATATCATAAATTCAAATTTTATAAATGATAATTTAATAGACATGTGATATGAATTCAAACGGGATCCGTATAGTAACACACTTATTTTTAAATAATTATTATAATAATTTGTATTTATTGATTTGACAATATAGCCAATCTTGTCATAAAAAACAAGAAAGGGTAAGTACATTGGAGTACTTACTTGCATCCTCTTAATTGACTAAAAATATGGTTGGTGTCTACGGAATACATATTTAAGGCTCGTTGACAAATTAACAACACCAATAGCAAAAGAAATTAACAGGGAAGTCAAATCATGCATTAATATCCTTTACAACATAATGTCTCGTAAAAAACCCACATGCATTTAATTTCATTCTAGAAAACACACTATCTTCCAGAATCAGATTTGGTCAACGACCTCAACCTTACAAAAAACTTAACCTTCTTATCCAAACTACTTACCCCATGTTGCTGCTCTTTCCTCTTCTTCCCACTCAAACACTCCCAGTTCTCCGGAGACCCCATCATAAGAACACTCTCCGGCGACCTCGCTCCAACCACCCCCACCTCGTCATTATCCGTCTGATCACCACCGCCAACAGCCGCAACAACCACCATCCTACCTTGCATTACAGACAACACCTCCCTCATTGCCACGTCAGCATCCTTCCTATTCCTCAACAAAATCTCCCCCACATGCGCCGGCGTAAGGGACCCACCCGAACGAATACACCCCTCAACCGCCTCAAACATCACGTGCGACTCCACCCCAAGGTAGTTTCTCGCTAACTCCCTGAACGCATGGATTCCGCATGTGCTTAAACTCACGTGCACGTCCATGCGTCCACACCGAATAAGCGCAGGATCAACACTATCTCTATGGTTAGTTGTAAAAACAACTAACCTTTCTTCTCCACAACAAGACCATAACCCGTCAGTAAAATTCAGGAGCCCCGAAAGCGTGACCCGACTACCATCATCACAACCCGAACCTGAAAACGATGTCGTTTTGTGTTTCTTAGACTTCGAAGCATTTTTCTTCTTGGTTCTGTCTGCTGTTAAATCCACCGAGCAATCAATGTCTTCAATCACGATAATTGAACGATTCGTCGTTTGGATCAAAAGCGAACGAAGCTCTGAGTTATCAGAAACTTTGGTGAGTTCCAAATCGTAAACATCGTAGCATAGAAAATTCGCCATTGCTGCAATGAGGCTTGATTTACCCGACCCGGGTGGACCGTGGAGCAAGTATCCACGTTTCCAAGCTCGCCCGACCCGGTGATAAAACTCTTTACCCGAAGCGAAAGCGGTTAAATCGTCTTTGATTTGTTTCTTCAGATCTGGCTCCAAGGCTAGCGTTTCGAAAGTGGAAGGGTGGCGAAACGGAACGGAAACCCAACCCGGTTCAAACGAACCGGATCCGTTGTTGTTAGTGAAGAGTCTGCGTTCGCGTGAGACGCGCTCGAACTCCTCGGCGCGTGAGGTGATGTGTGAGAGATAGGACGAGAGGAGCACGTGGCGGTGACGCTTTGGGAAACGGAGAGTGAAGCTGCGTTTTTCTTCCAGGGAGTCCTGTACGGCATCGACGTGGTGTGTCCAGGAGAGACTGTGGTTGTTGAAGGTGTCATGGACGGTGTGGTTTGGAGCTACGGCGAAGGAGATGCGGTTGGAGGAAGGGGAGCGGGAGAGGGTGAGACGACGGCATGCGGAGGCTGTGGAGTGGTTGACCGCGTTGAGGTAGAGGTGGACGTGACGGTAGAGGTCGTTGAGTTCAACTCCACAGTAGCCGTTGAATTCGGGGATTTCGAAATAGGAATATGGAGAAAGCAAATCTTGAAGTGATTCGTATAGCGAGTGAAGCAGGGAGAGAAGCTGTGATGGAAGCACATTTTGGAGCACTGTAAGTAACCCTAACAATGACCACATTTGTGATAATATCTCCATTTTTTGTTGGGAATGGTTTCTTTATGGATTGTTATATATAAACGTTGCAGAAAAGGATGAACATGTTCTGGTAAAGGTTATGCTTTGTGTTGGGTTGTGGAAGAAAGAGAAGCATATTAAATAAACAACATATTGCAGAGAGGTTAAAGTTAAAGGTAAAGATGATTAAACCGACCACTTTGCCTTTTGCTTTTACTTTGTTCGTTTGTAGATATGGTTGATTTTGTTTGTTCATGGACTTGGTAGACAATTATTTGCATGCATTGCCATAGTTCAGAATCGTGTGTTACACTTATGTCATGTTTTGCTTTTGTATAGAATCTCTGTAAATGCAAATTTATGTTTGCCAAAGGTTCTTTGTTCTATTTTGTTGCTCTTTTTTTATTTTTTATTTTTTTAAACTTCTCACAAATCAATTACATAAAAGATGCATTTATTTCTTTGTTGCTTGGCCAATGGTTCAGTTCAGGCTCAACCTTCTTCATCAATTGTTGTTTTTGTTTTTGTTTTTGGGTTAACAACCATTTTTAGTTTCTAAATGTGACACACATTATTGTTACTATAGGTAGTCCTTGAATGTATTAATTGCCAATACATCCCCAAGTATCCCTTCCTTGGTATCTATGTTGTTAGTAATGTGAGGCGAGGCACGTCTGAGTACTAACTAACTAACTAACAAAGACACGATCACGGACAACAATGACTAACTAAAGACACGTCCGAGTAGAAAGCTAACTAACTAAAGACATGGTCAAGGATAAAAATGACTAACAAAAAACATTTATGTATGCTTTTGTATTTTTGACTTATGAAGCGTAAATACTTCAATATCATTGTTGAATTGTATCTGATACGTACTGATATGCCTACATGCTCCGATATGGCAGTGACACGCTGTCGACACGTCTCTGATACTTCAGGGATACAACTAGTTTATCTCATGATTGTTCATGTTCTTCAAACTTTCCTCTCTTTAAGTACTCTTTTCTCAACTTTATTTACCTAGTGACTATTCATTTTTCTATAACAAGAATCAAATTTTCCCCTCTTTTATTACTCCTCTTAAACTTTAATTGCCTCTTCTCTTAGCTCTTCTCTTCTCTTTCTTAGCTCTTCTCTCATGTAATTTGTGATGCACCATTTTAATATTCTATCATTATTACTATTATTACTATTTATCAAGATAGGTTTATTTTTTAATTAATTCTTTTATCAATCATCAAATTTTGAAAATTCAATTGGTTATTGTTGGACAATGATTTAACTAATGTATAATTTTAAGTTTTATATACGTATCTAAAATGTATAGTATCTTAAATTTTTCAATGACTGACGTATCATCATATCAAATACGCATCGTATCCAATACCTGTATTGTGTATGTGCTTCATTGATTTTACACATTCAAGGACTATTGTGACCTCAACTCTCACATTTAACCATGAAAATGATTGTTCAATGCATATTGTATGTTGTGTGATGTATTTTGTTGTAGAAAAAATTATTTTGAGAAGAGAGTATAAAAAAGTGTATTACTAACATTTCCCTTCCTCAAATTTAATCTAGTCTTACAAGCATCTTAACCGTGTGAGTTGTAACTAATGCCCATAAGGCCATATAATTTCACATGCACACGTGGTAATTAGCTTTAGTAAAAGGTCTTTAAGGATAATAGCAGCATCAATGCCAACACATGGTGCAAGGATATATATTATGGTGGGCATGCAGAGGATCTGGTGGAGTGGAAACTGCTTTTGTACTTTCTTGACAAATCTCACTTTATTCTTTACCTTCTTTGTTCTTGTAATTTGCGCATTCAAGGTCAGAGAATGTTCTTTTGTATTATTATAACTCATCACTCACTCATCATGAGTACTGAGTGGGAAATGATAATGAGAGGATGATGATTATGTATGTACTACTGATTATTTTCATGTTTTACTGCACCATAATTCTTTGTATCTATACATTTATCTTTTTATCTTCACCTCTGTACCTTCTTAGTTTTTAGGTGCTACTGCATCTGCAAATTACGAGATTAGATTTCAATGCACAAGCTTGTAATAATTGATTGTAATTTGTTACTTTGTTTTGTCTATATACAAACTTTGTGCTGATTTGGTTTGTCATTTTTATGTATGTATTAAACTTTTTCAATTTATTATTGATATGCATAATGGTGGGAGATGGCCTATGAGATTGTGATACATTCCGGTATTAAAGTTAAGCATATGCATGGTGGTATTCTTTCTTGTGCATTACATTTCTTTTATATCTTTACATGCTTGTGCTTTTGTAACAAAGTTTAATTTATGATTCTTTACAAAAATTTGTCTAAATCTCCTTTTACTAAAGCAATTCAATTTGCACCATCAGATTACAATCCTGTGGTGTTGGGATATCATTCTTATCTAATGTTTCCCACCCCTTCAATGGTTTTAGGTATCCACTCATAAAAATGGTTGATATTTTGAGAAAGGGAACATGTAAAAGAGAAAATAAAAGGAGGAAAAAAAAGATAAAGAGGCATGTGAATGAGCATTAAAAGCCACGAATATGTAGGATGGGCAAAAATTCCAGTGTAGGTCAGCCTTGAGAGAAAGCTAAGGTTAAATGAGGGTATCAATAATAAAGCCAAAAAAAGTGTTCTCATATGGAATGTCAATGATCAAAGGGATCATATTCCATCTATGCATTATGTTTCATTGCAAAATCGATTCATCAAGATAAACAGATTAGAGTCTTAAGCAGATGAGTGTTGTCTGTTAGAATGAGAGATTGCACTTCACCTAGCCTAGTTAATCATATAGCGACTAACTATAAGATTGTAATGTATGATGTAGGCAGGGCTGTTTATGGCACAGATGTGTTAGAAAATTGAATTGAACTGGATCATTATATATATTTATTTGAATCGAATTAGTGTTAGAAAATTGAATTGAACTGGATCATTTATATATATTTATTTGAATCGAATTAAATCGTTTTAATTTTTTTAGAATTAAACCAAAAGTTTTAGTTTGATATAAAAGTTCGAAATTCTGATTCGTACCAAATCATTAGATGTCAAGTTATTATAAATTAAACTATTTGTTAAAAGAATTAAACCGTTATATTTAGTTTTGATTTTTTTTAATAAAACATTTATTTAAATTTATTTTTTAGATTTTCGAAAAAGTCAATTTTTTGTATTTTTGGAAAAAAGAAATCGAATTTTAAATTTTCAAAAAATTGACATTTTGATTTTAGAAAAAATCAGGTTTTTTATTTTCGAAAAAAATCGAGCTTTTTGAATTTGAAAAAAATTGACTTTCTTATTTTGGGAAAATCGATTTTTTTTTTCAAAAAAACCGACCTTTTAATTTTTGAAAAAATTGACTTTTTTTTTTAATTTTTGAAAAAAACGACTTTTTGATTTTCGAAAAAATTGATATTTTGTTTTCAAAAAAAGCAACTTTTATTATTCTTAAAAAAAAACCGATTTTTTGATTTTCGAAAAGTCTACTTTTTATTTTTCGAAAAAATCGACTTTTTGATTTACAAAAACGTGATTTTTTTTCCAAAAAAAACGACTTTTTGATTTGTGCAAAAATCAAATTTTTTTTTATAGAAAAAGTGACTTATTGATATTCGAAAAAATTGTGTTTTTTTAACTTTCTAAATAAACCGACTTTTTCATTTTCGAAAAAAACCGATTTTTATTTTATTTTCGAAAAAATTGACTTTTTTAGTTTGGAAAAAACCAACGTTTTGATTTTAAAAAAAAAATCAACTTTTTGATATTCGAAAAAAACTGGCTTTTTGATTTTCGAAAAAATTGACTTTTTGATTTTCGAAAAAAATCAACTTTTTGTATTTTTTGAAAAAATCGACTTTTTGATTTTCGAAAAAATCGACTTTTTGATTCTCGAAAGACCACTTTTGATTTTCGAAAAAAATTGAAATTTTGATTTTAAAAAAATTCTACTTTTATAATTTTCGAAAAAATCGAGTTTTTGATTTTCGAAAAATTGACTTTTTTTTTTATTTTTCAAAAAAAACAATTTTTTTTCGAAAAAATTGACTTTTTAATTTTCGAAAAAATTGATTTTTTTTTTCAAAAAAACAGACTTTTTGACTTTCGAAAATACCGACTTTTTGATTTTTGAAAAAATTGATTTTTTTTCCGAAAAAAATCGACTTTTCCAGTTTAAAAAAATATTTTTTTTCCGAAAAAATTAATTTTTTAATTTTTGAAAAAATCAACTTTTTTTTATTTAGATGAAATTCAATTTTAAAAATTAAGTAACAATGGTGCGGTTCAAGATTATTTTAGAATTAGTTAATTGTTTAACCGTTCAATTTTAAAATCATTAATAAAAATATAAATTCGATTTGTTAATCGTTATTAATGATTCAATTATTTTAATTTCAATTTGATTAGGATCAAGGATTCAGTATAGTTTGACGATTTTTTTAAATCCCAATTTAATTCGGTTCACTGAATCACTATGGTTTCATGATTTTTTTGAAACCCCAATTTAATTCGGTTCACTGATTCAATATGGTTTCACGATTTTTTTGAACAGCCCGTATGAATGTGTTAATATTAATTAAAGTGTTTTATTTTTGAAGTTAATATTAATTAAAGTTTTGGTCAGCTTTGAGCTAATGCTATGCTTAAAATGAGGTATCATAATAAAGACAAATGTCGGCTCTCCCCATAATGTCCCCATTAATCAAGTGGATCATATTCCATTTTGCATGCTATAGTTTGAGTTTCTTTTTTCACCCCTATAATTCGGATTTACCTTTTCACATGGGAAAAAACACATTTTGGTGTGAATAAATTCTATTGTATAGCTGTGATCATGGTAATAGACGTGAACAATTTTACAGGTGTAGAATTAATTTTGGATGATTTTGAGGTATTTATTTTATAAAAAATATAATAGATTTGGTCTCCAAAATTGATTATACTAGAAGCTATAATTTGTAGCTTCTATCTCTAGAATTGATTC